TGCTTCTCGCAACACATGTCCTTTCCAATGTTTGGCTCTTCTACTAATCCACATGTACCCAAACCATGCCCCCAACCATTCACTTCATATCGTGGCCCTATGGAACCCATACCACCATGTGTTCTTTCTCGCACTAGACCATGCATCACTGTCACCCTGTTTGGTTCACGCCGTCATATTGTCTTGCTGGTTGAGCAGCATGGGAGCCTGTAGATATTGCCCCCCATAACTTAGGCAACACATCCTTTCCCCACCCCCCAACCCTTCACCTCCTATATAAGCCCCTTTACTCCCACATCCCCTGCCGAAGCCCATGTTGTTCTCCTCTGTACAGCTGCGTGACCCGGTTTGTGTGTCATCCAGTGACTCTACGGTGGTAGCTGGATGGCTGGCATGGGCGGAAGCAGATATGGCAGCCCATGCCTCACGCCGTACACACCCTTTATTCCCACCCTCATTCTTCAACTCCTGTTTTGTCCCTTTGTGCTGCCATCCCCTCATGCCCCCCGCTGTTTTTTTCCTATCACCAGAGGCTAATGGGGTTTGCCCACGACCGAAGTGACTCTACGGTGGTTCATGGATGAGGAGCATGGGCGGATGCATATGTTGCAGCCCTTGCTTCACGCAAGAGACACCCTTCCACCACCCCCTCACTCTTCACCTCCTTTTTTGTCCCTTTGTGCTGCCATCCCCGCACGATGCCCGCAGTGTTTTCCTATCACCAGAGGCTAATGGGGTTTGTGCACGATCCAGTGACTCTACGGTGGTAGCTGGATGAGGAGCATGGGCGGATGCAGATATTGCACCTCCTGCCTCACGCAAATAACACCCTTTCCCCACCCCCAAACTCTTCACCTCCCTTTCTGCCTCCGTGTGCCGCCGTCCCCTCATGATGCCCGCATTGTTTTGAGTAACATGGGATACGGTTTGTGAGTGTTCAGGGACTCTCTAAGGGGGTTGATGGAGGAGCAACAGGGGTGGATGCACACATTGCTTTCCACTGCCTCACGCAACACACCATTCCCCTCCCCCCCCCCCCCCCTTCCCCCCCTACCTCCTGCCCCATTTGTCATTGACAACCAACGCTTGACATAGCCTACATGATTACCATCTCGACACGGGTGCGATATCGCGCACCATTGATGGTCCTAAACGCTAATCTGTAAGGTACTCTCAGCTGCCCCAAGCGTCTCCTCGCCCCCCTATACCCGCCCCCCTATATCCAACCATGTCTTATTCCCATGTCGTCCCCTGTCCGTGTATGTGTTATTCTACAGAGCAAGCGTGCGGCGATGGGCATTGCAGATATGTGGAAGGCACCAAGTGCACACCTTGATTTTACACTAGTAATTAGTCATACGCCTTACATGGATCTTTACGGTATTTGTTCTGCACACAATCACTCGCGTGATACAAGATCAGACATGAGTGCATTAGCCACTCTACTTCTGTTGAGACCAAAACTGCAACAAATAATACAAAGTATAGAGTCCTAGGCACAACTATCACCGCCACAATCCGGTGCGACGGTTTAGCCATCCACCCTAGACGCTGTAACTCCTGACTCAAAACTACGCATTCCAAAGTCTATGTCTTCGGGTGGATCCCACTTACCCAAGAAGAAATCAACATCCGACTGCGTGCAATTCCGGTAGCCCTCGTTCATTTGGACGGTCTCGGGGTACAAAGATCCTATCACAACGTACACTAACCATGGCAGTTTTACGTGGGCCTCTTGATCGTCTCCAAGCAGGTCGGAAAAGCGTACGTAACACCTGAACCTGTGATTCTTGGGAAGCATGGGACGGCCGTTGTTGGATGTTTGCGTGTTCTTCCCACAACATATGCGCACAATTGCTTCGACCGTTCGTATGTTGTCGGCCACATCGCCTTGGCTCTCTTGGGGCAGTTCTAACTCCTCTATAGCCCACTTCTCGAGAACACTGTTCTGTTTGGGGTAGATTCGGGCAAATTCTTCAAGGGACCACGACTCGCTGGCTTCCAGCAGTACAGTTGGTTTGCCAGATGGTGTGTGAGAGCGCCGCAGAAGAGGCTTGATATGGCCTAGCTGGCTGCTGGCTCGACTCCGCCCCCTCCTCATGCCACCACCCACTAATCTGCGGTTCTTCCATGGCTGTCCACGATCGTCGCTGTCCGAATCACTCTCCAATTCATCAGTTAGCCGTGTGCCCAGAGACAATCCCTTATGCCGAGTTCTCCGATCCATGTTCAAACTGTGGGGCACGGAATCTATGGGAATGCAGATGGGGTGAGTTGGGGACACAATAAGGAGGGGTTGAGATTTGACATTACATGGTGGTCCGTGATGAAGAGGAGCATGGGACCATGGGTGCAGGGGAGCATGGGACCATGGGTGCAGGGGAGCATGGGACCATGGGTGCAGGGGAGCATGGGACCATGGGTGCAGGGGAGCATGGGACCATGGGTGCAGGTCTGCATGGGACCATGGGTGCAGGGGAGCATGGGAACATGGGTGCAGGGGAGCATGGGACCATGGGTGCAGGGGAGCATGGGACCATGGGTGCAGGTCTGCATGGGACCATGGGTGCAGGGGAGCATGGGACCATGGGTGCAGGGGAGCATGGGACCATGGGTGCAGGTCTGCATGGGACCATGGGTGCAGGGGAGCATGGGACCATGGGTGCAGGGGAGCATGGGACCATGGGTGCAGGTCTGCATGGGACCATGGGTGCAGGGGAGCATGGGACCATGGGTGCAGGGGAGCATGGGACCATGGGTGCAGGGGAGCATGGGACCATGGGTGCAGGTCTGCATGGGACAGTCCTACAATGGGAGTGAAACAGTCCTACAATGGGAGTGAAACAGTAGGGGAAGGGTGGGTGAAACAGTGGGGGAAGGGTGAGTGAAACAGTGTGGGAAGGGGAGTGGGAGCATGGTGGAAACGGGAGTGAAACAGTGGGGGAGGGGGAGTGGGAGCGTGGGGGGAAGGCGGAGTGGAAGCATGGGAGAATGGGAGTGTAACCGTCCATGGAATGGGAGCTGACCCGTCGGGGATTCGGAGTGTAACAGCAATGCATGATGCATTGGAGGCGTGGGGGAAGGGGAGTGGAAGAGTGTAGGAAGGGGGAGTGTCACAGTGGGGGAAGGGGAGTGAAACAGTGGGTGACGGAAAGTGAAGCACGGGGGCGGGGAGTGGAAGCGGAGGGGAAGGCGGAGTGGAAGCGGGGGGGAAGGCGGAGTGGAAGCGTGGGGGAAGGCGGAGTGGAAGCGTGGGGGAAGGCGGAGTGGAAGCGTGGGGGAAGGCGGAGTGGAAGCGTGGGGGATGCTTTGGGGAGCATAAGAGTATCGGATCAGCGGGGCATCGGAGCAAGGGAGAAGCACAACGGGGGAGCAGCGAGGCGCGGGAGGGAAGAGGAGCATTTCGGGAGGGGTTGCCTCCCTTACCGTCTACCTAGGACCCGCTCCCTTGGCGTTCGCGCCATGCAGCCTCTTTTTTAACTCCGCATTGTCACATTGTAGCAAATGCCCACGGGCATTTGGCTCACAGGCACCTCTTATCGTGTGCAAAGGGGATACTATATGTTTTCGTTGTTGCCTTCCGTCTTTCCGAAATTGACGCATACCCGTATGCGAGTACTGCGGTGAAGGGAAATGGGGGGAGCGGGGTTGATCGAGGCCTGGATCAGACGTGGGAAGGATAGTTAGCATTCCGCGTAGATGCCTAGTGTTTGGCGTGTGCTCCTGGGGGAGCATTTTTGCCCTGTAACTTCCGTCGGAATGCGCTTTTTTGAGTTGCGCAGCCTGCCATGTCATTCCCCTGGTGCGGGCGAGTTTGCATTCTCGCAGTCGTCCGCTGATGTGTATTCGGATTGTGAGTCCTCACGCTTTGTTGGCCTGAAATTCGCATCTAATCCGCAACACCGGATTGCGCTCATACACTGCAGGGTGTGGCGCCTGTCAGTTGGACGTCGCCATGTGCGATGCACTCCATATCGTTTGCAGTCCCAGTACGCACGCTGATGTGAGGGGCGAGGGAACGTGGGGCTCAATGCCATTGGTCGCTTTCGTGTTGGTCCTTTCCTATTCGCGCTGAGCCTATGCGTGTCTCTACCATCACTCACGTACCTCGGTAATCACTGGTATATGTTCGTCGTCGCCCTTGAACCAGCACCAGTCTCGACTACGTAAGGTCTGATTAGGTCTACGGCTGGTGAGTGTGTTTGTAAGGGGTGTCTCAGTTGTTGATTGCGCAAAACAGTTGACCGAGACCTGGGTTTGGCGTGCGACACCCACTCCGTCGTCTTTGGCTGTCTTGCACACCCCCTGCGATCGAGGGTAAGGGTTTCGCGAAAATGTGAGGGTTCGTGTTGCGAAGTGTTTGTTCTTTGGCGAGTTGAATTTTGGCAGGACGTTTGTTCGTGATTCGTAAGCCAATCAGCCCAACCCTTTTTCTCACAACTGCAAAGCACTTGCTCTACTTGAGACCCTGGCTTTAAACCTGAAATTACAGGGACCAGAATGTGACAAGTCTGAAATCACCCTGAAATCAGGGTAATTACCCTGATAAAATCAGCCCTGATCGGGGGGACATGGCTCCCAACGAGTTTCCAAGTGGCTGCTTTTGCAGATGGCTACTGTGTTTGGGAAAGATTGTAGAAGGAGGCAGGTCATAACAAAGCAACACCATTAATATAAATACTAGAGATGTTGTTTATACGCACAAATATGGATATGTGCGTCCTATCCTGTACATGCACGAGCATCAGTCTATCATGAGCAACCTTGGAAGCGAGCCACCAGAGCATGTTGGTCTTGGAGGTACCATCATAAAATGCACCTAGAGCAGCAATGTTCGCCGTGGCCCCCTGCGGGTCGTACAGCGCCTGCAGCGCCCACGCAAATCCGCGCCCCTCATCCGTGGCGGCACTGCTAAGCACAGGTTGCGCCCACTCCACGAGCTGCTTGGCGAACTCACAGTCAGGGAAGAGGTGGGCGAGGAAGGGTGAGACGGGCAGCACCTAGATGCCCACACGCTTCTCCATGTCCGCCGACGGGGCGAACCACAGCCTCGCATCGCGCTTGGTGGACCACAGCACGCCCACCACGCGGTTGGCATCTGCAAACACAGCTTCGTAGCCGGGTGTGAGGGAGGGGTCCGGATTGGACGAGGCAAGCGGCTTTTCGCCCAGCACAGACGCCAGCAGCGCCCCCGCGTAGTACGCGCTGGCCTACTCGCTGAAGCTCTCCTGGTTGCACCCGTCGCCAAACTCAAACAGCCCGCTGGCCCACGAGTGCAGCGCGTACGCGTCAAAGTGCCTCAGCCTCGGGGATGCCGCCGTGCGCTCCAAAGACATGTTGTCAGCCATGAGGTCCCCCATGCGGCGTCAAACTCGGCAACGGTGGCAGCGGCGTAGATGAAGTAGCCGTAGTGGAAGTGGTGGTTGTTGTACATGCCCGCTCCAAACTCCACCCCCTAGTCAAGCGACCCCGCCTCGCTCACCACACCGCCCCACGTGGGATCGTACAGCAGGCGGTTACTAGGGAAGGTGCCATCCAGCCACGTGGAGAGTGCGGTTCGCAGGGGCGGCAGCACGGCGGCCAGGCTGTCATCGTATTGCACCTGCTTTGCGATCAGCGCCAGGCGGGCGACGCGTGCCGCTGCCTTGCTGAAGGAGTAGGTGGAAGGGGAGGAGAGGGGCGGCAGAGCGGCCACGTCCTGCTTGAGGCTGCCCCTCAGCTCGTCCAGCAGCTGTGCGTCGGACGAGAGGGGCCCTGCTTCCCACGTGGAGGGTCGCTTGGGCACGTTGAGGCGCCACACCCCCCCCTGCATGCCCACCGCCTGGCCGTCGATGGTGGGGTATGCCAGCACTGATGCATCGGGCACGAACGCATTTGCACGGACGACCACCGTGCACTGCCCCGTATGTTGGAGGGGCCAGCAGAGGCGGGGTTGTGGTGGCCGCGGAGGGCGCTCATGGCGTAGGAAGGGGAGCCGTTGCAGCGACGGCGGAGGGCGGAGGCAGTGGAGGGGCTGTGTGCGCTCACTTCCATTCGCCGATGCACTGCTCATGGGGGAGGAGGGAAAAGGGGGAAGGGAAGAAACAAGGAAGCAGGGGGGTTAGTTTGACGTACAGATGATGAGGGCGATGAAGGATTGCATTGCATCCTTGTGACGGCATTGCAGGTGACATTGCAGCACAGCAGCACCGGCGCAAGCAAGCAACTCACTTGGCAGCGATAGCATGAGCAGCGGCGGCGGCGCATTAGTTTCGCCATTAGCCAGCTCGCGCCACTGCTGGGTGCGCCAGGTGTACTCGATGAGAAACTCTCCCACCTGCGCACTCCCCCCCAGCGGCACCGTGGGCACGTGTGCGTCCAGCGGCGCCTCCTCGTCCTGCAGCGCAGAGGAGGAGCCCGTCAGCAGCGCCACGCGCATCGTCCCCATGAATGGTGCATCCGCCACCAGCGCTGACCCATCCTACCTCGGCGCCAGTGGCGACGACAGACAGGTACACCAGCAATGTCTGGTGAGAGGGGAAGGGAGATAGAAACGGGGGAGAAGAGATGGTGGTTGATACATCCAGTGAGTGAGTGGGGGGGGGTGCTCTATTACAGGAAGTTTGAGAGCAAGCGGATGGGAAAGATAGCAAGGACGATGGGAGAATGAGACACAGGAATGGGGCGCAGGCAGCCGTTGATGTGGCGGACTGACTGACCTGGCCGTTGTTGAGCACGACGCGGTACTTGGTGCTGTCGCTGCTGGCCTCAACGCCGGTGATGGCGTGGATCGTCGTCAGCATGGGCGTCGCAGGTGGGCCGCCCGGGGGGAATATGAACGTCAGGAGGGGCGACCCGCGCACTAGGGGGACCTCGAGTGCGGGGGGATCGGAGGGCGCGGAGGAGGGTTGGCGGAAGGAGAGGGTGGCGGAGAGGTCGTCGTAGGTGGAGAGCTAGCGGGGGGGGAGGCCCTGCAGCGTGGAGAGCATGAGCGCGGTGACGAACGCCTGCACGATGTACCCTGGTTGCGGGTCGCGCACCGGCAACCCCCACGCGACGCGCCCCTCCGCGCTCTGCACGATGTACGGCGTGACGAGCTCGGGGTTGCCGCCCTGCCCCAGCACGAAGTTCTGCCACGACGCGTTCGTTGGGTACGGCAACTGGGGTCGGTGGAAGAGAGGGAGTTTTGCAGTATGAGGGGAGAGGAGCGGAGAAAGCACGGGGAACGGGGAAGACGAAATAGGAGATAAAGTCGAGCCGCCGGGCAAGTTACAGCCTCCGAGTTTGTGAGGGCACTGGAGGCGGAAAGCGCGCGCAGATGGGGGAAGCGGCGATCGCGCGCCGACAAGGGAGGGCTGGGAAACTCACTGTGAGGTTGGCGGACCAAAGGGCGGAGGCCGCGGAAGCGACAATGGAGGAGAGCGAGGGGAAGGCCGCAGTCGCCATGGCGGCGGAGATCAGACGCAAACGGAGTGCGGCGGGGATGACAGGCGGAACGAGCTCGGCGGGGTTGGCGAGGCGGCACGCTGCGCGGCTGGCAGCTGCGAGGCGTGTGCCGTGAGGTGAAGGTCAGTTGCGGTAGTTGGGGGTAAAGGCGCTGTATTGGTGCTGCTGGACGGAGAATTGCTGATGCACCAGTGGTGATTGTAGATTCTGTGATCGCGGGAGCTACTAAATAGAGCAATTACTTGGCAGCATTGCGTGCGTTCTGGCCGTGGGATGTCGCGTCCCGTGATGCCAGTGATGCCATAGCGTCGGACGCGACGGACCGTGGGGCCCGCGACACGCGAACCAGTCAGACAAACATAATTCGAGTCCACCACACTGCTAGCACACTCGCGGCTCTCACACAGTCGAACCGTTCGCTTGAATTTAAAACCCGAAGCCTGAATTACAAAAACTGAGTCAACGCTTGGTTTGGTAGGTCTGAGGTTCGTGCAATATGAGGTGCGGAGGAATTGCGAAAGGTAGCATGTTGCGAAACCTAATGCGACTCTCCCGTGAAGCAAACAGCTCGCAGGCAGAGCTGAGGTTCGGCTCCGGAAGTGTTAACACCTCCCAGAAAGTTTGTAATTCAGGCTTCGGGTTTTAACGGACATCGACCTGTCCACAGTAATGCGTTACTATGGCAGCCATGGCTAAATGAAGGCACCTCCATGGTCCAACACTGCGCCATCATCGGACATCGACCTGACCACAGTAATGCGTTACTATGGCAACCATGGCTAAATGAAGGCACCTCCATGGTCCATGGCAGTAATGCTCTCCACCACCACACATCGCGTGCAGTGCAGGGTTGGAATGGCACAGGAGCACCACAGCTTCTCCTGTTACCCTCTTTCAGCAAGGCGCTATTGCGACCAAAGAAATGCGGGCGCGATGTTCCTGTCGGCCGTTGACGACGAATGCGAAAACGGAGAGAGACGCCGTTAGTGTCGCGGGCACTCTGTTTTTCCGAGGTTCAGCGCACGTGAAAATGGAGGTGGTCCGTGCAGCAGAGCATTCCTGCTTGGCTATGAAGCAACCCCGTTCCTGACTCGAGGCATCAATAGAAAGGTCAGATTACAATGTTGAATATTGGGAATTGTTACGGGTGCAATGAATCTAAGTAGCGAGAATTGCACTAAGCTGTCCAACGAGTACAAAATGTGAGCGAAGGCACGAGCGAACATTTATACGCGAAGCATGCAAACGGTAACGCGGCGCGTGCGAGCTAGCTGGTGCTACGTTGGAAACGAGGCTCGTGCTAGTCCCGGAGCGTAGGCCGACACGGCCAGGCCAGCAGTGCGAGGTTTGGTGAAACAGTGCGCGCGAAGTCGGCGAAGCCCCGTTAGCAGTAAAGGGCGAACAACGACTATTGCTGTACGCGATGTAGTCGGGCTCCGTAAGGAATGCCGAGAAAAATCCTTATACTACTCCCCCCCCCCCCTCAAGAAGCCCCCTTCGCTACACGAGTGCGTGTATATCGCGGAATCCCCAGCTCCTCAGGTACAGTTGCAGGGCAGGGTGCTTTTCGATGTTGGCCAGGGGCACCCAGCTGTCCTCAGTTGGCGTGCGATCCTTCCAGCGAACGAGGAATTCAATCCTCTTGATTCACGTGGGGTGTCGAATCCGATGGCTCATGATTTTTTCGGGCGCGATGATCGGCTCTGATGCAGGGCGAGTCATGGATGGCGGGCGGTGGCGAGGCAGTTGGCTTGTGGTTGGGATGTAGGGCCGAAGCAAGCTGACGTGGAACAAGGGGCTGATGTACCAGTCGGTCGGTAACAGTAGGTGCGCAGTTACTGGCGTGATCATGTGGCTGATTTGGAATGGGCCACAGTAGCGCGGTCGGAGTTTTGGTACCTCGGGCAGTCGCAGATTTTGCATGTCAAGTACTACGTAATCCCCTGACTGGTATGTGACTGGGCGGCGGTGGCGGTTGTCAGATTTATATGACATAGTTGTTGTAGGCTATAGTGGGGTAGCACATATGGGGTACAGGGTTTCTAGGGTTGTATTTGTACCCATCTTTCCTTAGTCATTTTCATCCCTGTTCGTTTATTCTCACATGGTATAGAGCGGGTCCTTCTACGGACCGGTTTTTTTTTTTTTGGGCCCACCGAAGCGCCCCCCCGAGGCGCGATCCTTTTTTTTAGCGACCCCTCCGGTCGCCATTTCCCCTGCGGCCCCGCCGCCTTCACTGACGCGGCCCCGCCGCCCTCTCTGTCGCGGCTCGGCCGCCTGCTCTCACGCGGCCCCGCCCCGGCTCCTTCGCGGCCCCGCCGCCTGCTCTCGCGCGGCCCCGCCCCGGCTTCTACACGGCCCCGCCCCGGCTTTCACGCGGCCCCGCCGACGGCTTCGTCGCGGCCCCGCCCAGGCCCTTACGCGGCTCCGCCGCCTGCTCTCACGCGGCCCCGCCCCGGCTCCTTCGCGGCCCCGCCGCCTGCTCTCACGCGGCCCCGCCCCGGCTTCTACGCGGCCCCGCCCCGGCTTTCACGCGGCCCCGCCGACGGCTTCGTCGCGGCCCCGCCCAGGCCCTTACGCGGCCCCGCCGCCTGCCCCCGTCGCGGCCCGGTCTCCTCCTGACGGCTCCTGCCGTCCCCCCTTCTACCGGCCCCGCAACTGCATCTGCTGGCCCCGCCGCTGCACCTACCGGCCCCCCACCACCCACCCCCCCTTTTCCCGTCGCCCGTCGCGGCTCCTTCGGGGGCCGCAAGCGGCCCCCTCAGGTCGCCTCGACAGGCGACGGGAGAGGCCAGCAGAGGTGTGGCAGGTGTGTGGCCTCCCCTGCTTCTCCTCCTCCTTCATCTCCCACTGCAGCAGCCGAGCCGCTCACCTGCAGCAGCCGAGCCGCCCCACAGCCGAGCCGCCGGGTCGCTTAGCTGCTGAGCTGCAGTTGCTGCCGAGCCGCCCTGCCGCCGAGCCGCCGAGTCCCCGAGCTGCTGAGCTGCAGTTGCTGCTGAGCCGCCTTGCCGCCGAGCCGCCCGAGTCGCCCGAGCCGCCGAGCCGCCGAGCTGCCGAGCCGCTGAGTCGCCGAGCCTACTCTTCCCACCACTGGTGAGCTCTTGCCCTGCTAGCACACTGCGCGTCGCCTGCTTGCCTGCCTGCCTGCCTTTTGGCTTGCCTGGCTGCCTGCCTCCCTGCTGCTAGTCCTGCTCCTGCTTCTACTTGCGGAGCCAAATGCAGCCCCAGCGACGCCGGCGTGAGTCCCTCACGCCCCAGCAGCTGCGTGAGTGGTACGCTGGTTGGGGCTGTAGGGGTGGCGACGCTACTCCTACTACCACTCCTGCTGCTTCTACTCGTGGTGGCGGCCAGATGCAGCTCCCGCGACCCTCTCCCGTGTCTCTCACGCCTCGCCAGCTTCGTGAGTGGTACGCTCAGAGTGGAGGGTCTCTCAGTGCTGTTCGCTGCTCGTACGTGATTCGCACTGGTACTCGGACTGGTCAGCCTTGTGGGACACGTAGTCATACACCGTCCCGCTGCTTCGCCCGTCTGAGCGACGCCTGGCGTACCGTGTTTGGCGACGAGGCTGAGCTTCCCGACTGGGTGGAGTTGCTTAGGCAGAGGGTAGATATATATGCTCTTGACTATGATGCTATTCTCACTGCCATGTATGCATTGCCTACTAGTACTGACCGTGCCGGTCACCTGTGCGTCCCGCCTGACCCAGGTATAGGACCTGCTGCTCTAGCTACTGGTGAGGCTGCTGCTCTGGGTGCTAGTGAGTCTCCTGCTCCAGGTACAGGTGCGGCTGCTGCTCTAGGTGCTAGTGAGTCTGCTTCCTCAGGTGCGGGTGAGGCTGCGCTCTCAGGTACCGCGTTGGCTTCGGCCTCCCTCACCTTTACACTTGACTCTGGGGCTTCTCGCTCCTTCTTTCGGGACCGCACCACACTCACGCCGCTTGGTCGGCCGGTTGCAGTCTCCCTGGCTGACCCCTCTGGGGGTCCTGTCCTCGCTCACTTCTCCACTGTCCTCCCGTGTCCGGCTGCCCCCTCGGGCACCCTGTCTGGCCTGTACCTCCCCTCGTTCTCGACGAACTTGGTGAGTGGTGCAGACCTACAGGATGCGGGGGTTCACCAGTTCACTCCTGCGAGTCAGCGGGTGACCCACTGCACGGACGCACGCACAGGCCGGCACCTGGCCACGTTCTCGCGTCGGCCGGGGTCGAGCCTCTACACCCTGACCACTGAGTCTCCTCCTGTCCCCGCGTCCGGTCAGGTAGCAGCGTCGGGTCAGGTGTTTGCTGCTGCGTCCAGGTCTGGTCCTGAGTCTGCCCCCTGTACTTGTCGCCTCCTGTCTCACGAGACTCTCCTGTGGCACCACCGTCTTGGCCACCCCTCCTTGCCCCGTCTTCGGAGCATGGCTTCCCGTGTCCTTGTCTCTGGTCTTCCCCAGTCTCTCCCTCCTCTCCCCTCCGGGCCAGGACCTTCCTGTGTCCCTTGTGTCGAGGGTCGCCTCCGGGCTACTCCTCACTCCTCCCACTTCCCCCCGACAGAGGCTCCCCTGCAGACGCTTCACATGGATGTGTGGGGCCCAGCCCCCGTCCGTGGGCAGGGTTACGAGCGCTACTTCCTGTTGGTGGTTGACGACTACTCGCGTTACACCACAGTCTTCCCCTTGCGCAGCAAGGGTGAGGTCACTGTGGTGCTGATCGACTGGATCCGCGAGGCTCGTCTCCAGCTCAGGAAGAGCTTCGGCTCGGACTTTCCTGTTCTGCGTCTGCACTCTGACAGAGGCGGAGAGTTCTCTTCCCGCCTTCTGCGAGACTACTGTCGTGCACGGGGGATCCGCCAGACCTTCACGCTTCCGGACTCACCACAGCAAAATGGGATTGCTGAGCGCCGCATTGGCATGGTCATGGATGTCGCTCGTACGTCCATGATGCATGCGGCTGCCCCCCATTTTCTGTGGCCGTTTGCGGTGAGGTACGCGGCGCATCAGCTCAACCTTCACCCCCGGGTCTC